TACTACTTTTGTTTTCATCTCAGCTGACTAGAGTCTTTTACTTTCAGAACTACTTTCTCAAAACAGCTCTCGCCTTTGCAAACTATTTCTTTTATTGCGGTTATCTAGACTCTAAAAACTCTTCTATTCCAATTGTCCAGGCATCACTTCCTGCGGGGATACATGAGAGATTTACTGCAGCTATTGGCCAACTCCAAGACCCATCCATGGTCACAACGTTGTACTATTGCGGTTCATTAGAGAAACCTGACCGGCTGCAACATATTTTGAACAATGGATTTTCAGAAGAGGGTAAAATGTGTATATTTATGGAAGGGTAAATGTATAATCGATGGAAGTGTAATATATTGAATAAACATGGCTATCTTTTTGGTGTATCTGTTGGTGTATCTGTTGGTATATCTGCTGGTGTATCTGTTGGTGTATCTGTTGGTGTATAACAAGTTCAATGTCATTGGATGGGAAGGGGCATGACTTGAAAGAGATCCACTCTCAGGGTGGGATGGTGAGGCGGGATAGGGGAGGGTGCAAGTGGGGTGGGTAGGAAACAATGCAAGGGAGAAAATATTTTTTTATGCGTCATTAGTTACATAGTTACTTTAAATTGATGGAAGGGTAAAATGTTTTTGTGTTAATGAAGATAGGAAATGTTTGAAATAATGGGAGATTTTATAAAATTGTATCAGGGAGATAAATATTAAGTGCAATATGGGGTGGAGGTATATGCTCAGGTTGAAGCAAGAAGAAATATAAAGCACAGAGTGTTGAAAGTCTAAGAAGGATGAACCAAAGCAGCAGACATTTTGACTGAAATCCTTCAATAGCTAAAAACACAACATAGAATAAAGAATAACAGAGAATCGAAACACAATTTAGCTTGGTTTGGAGTTGAACAGAATGTATGGACAGAACACTCACATTTTTGTATATATTATGAATGTTCAACCTTCTTTTTTTTAAAGAATAATTGTTAAACTTTATGCTAGTAAGTGCAAATGGGATATGTTTCAGATTTCACATGTGGAGAGTTTGGCAGGGGACTTTATTTCTCTAAATATCCATCAAAGGCGGCTCAGTTTTCTGTGGTGAGCTTACGATTTTCTATTTCATTTCATTAATGATAGAGAAAAAAATGAGCATGTGTTTGAAAACATCTGTCGAATATATTTTTTAAAAGCTTTGATTGTGTTGACAATGACCCATGTTTTCTTAATGTAATGACTTTGCTTCGCACCAGTTTGAAATGCTAATTGTCTTAAGTAACCACTCCCATCCTGGTAGTGAGTATACATCACAGTCAACTTTGGTTGTGAAGCTCAAGCGCAGCAGTTGGCAACATGCTCCTTTCAATTAAAGGTTTTTGAATAAATGCAGCTCTTTAATAATTAAACATTTAATTTTTGCACCATAAAAATAGTGAAAAAAAATCTGTTTTAATTTAATTTATCAAAAGCGAAATATTAATCGATGTGTGCAGTGCACGTTCACTGTTCCAATCTGTCCCTGTCTTCGGCTCCCTAAATGTTTACTTAGCACATGACTTTTAGAGGCCTCTTTTCAAATTTTTTGGTTTTGTGCCCTATGCATTCAAAATTGATTGTCAATTCTTTTCCCTATAATACCTTTAGGCCCCTGAAATAGCCAAAGGCACAGGGGTTGCAAAAGTAAATAGTAGAACAAGATTTGTTGAAGGAAATAGCAGAACAAAGTTTTGCAGAAGGAAATAGTAGAACAAGGGTGGCAGAGCCTTGTTTAGCAGATATAATTTATAAAATGGTTCTTTATTCAGAAAATGTTGCAGATCCCTGTTCAAAAATCTCCTGTTCTGGTAGTGATTATCACATCACACTTCTCAGTGGTTGTTGTTAAATTCTAGAATCTCTTATTCCGGTAGTTGGTACTACATCACACTTCTCAGTGGTTGTTGTTAAATTCTAGAATCTCTTATTCTGGTAGTTGGTACTACATCACACTTCTCAGTGGTTGTTGTTAAATTCTAGAATCTCTTATTCTGGTAGTTGGTACTACATCACACTTCTCAGTGGTTGTTGTTAAATTCTAGAATCTCTTATTCCGGTAGTTGGTACTACATCACACTTCTCAGTGGTTGTTGTTAAATTCTAGAATCTCTTATTCTGGTAGTTGGTACTACATCACACTTCTCAGTGGTTGTTGTTAAATTCTAGAATCTCTTATTCTGGTAGTTGGTACTACATCACACTTGTCAGTGGTTGTTGTTAAATTCTAGAATCTCTTATTCTGGTAGTTGGTACTACATCACACTTCTCAGTGGTTGTTGTTAAATTCTAGAATCTCTTATTCTGGTAGTTGGTACTACATCACACTTCTCAGTGGTTGTTGTTAAATTCTAGAATCTCTTATTCTGGTAGTTGGTACTACATCACACTTCTCAGTGGTTGTTGTTAAATTCTAGAATCTCTTATTCTGGTAGTTGGTACTACATCACACTTCTCAGTGGTTGTTGTTAAATTCTAGAATCTCTTATTCTGGTAGTTGGTACTACATCACACTTCTCAGTGGTTGTTGTTAAATTCTAGAGTCTCTTATTCTGGTAGTTGGTACTACATCACACTTCTCAGTGGTTGTTGTTAAATTCTAGAATCTCTTATTCTGGTAGTTGGTACTACATCACACTTCTCAGTGGTTGTTGTTAAATTCTAGAATCTCTTATTCTGGTAGTTGGTACTACATCACACTTCTCAGTGGTTGTAGTTAAGTTCTAGCATCTCTTATTCTGGTAGTTGGTACTACATCACACTTCTCAGTGGTTGTAGTTAAGTTCTAGCATCTCTTATTCTGGTAGTTGGTACTACATCACACTTCTCAGTGGTTGTAGTTAAGTTCTAGCATCTCTTATTCTGGTAGTTGGTACTACATCACACTTCTCAGTGGTTGTAGTTAAGTTCTAGCATCTCTTATTCTGGTAGTTGGTACTACATCACACTTCTCAGTGGTTGAAGTTAAGTTCTAGCATCTCTTATTCTGGTAGTGACTATCACATTACACTTGTCAGTCGCTGTTGATAAGCACTAGCATCGCCTTTTAACCAAGTGAAGAGAATGATCTTTTTACATGATGTTGTTAGCAGCTCGCTGTTTGCTCTATTTATGCATTTCAAAGTGTTAGAATCTAATCTGCTCCATATTTCTTTATCAAAAGCTGGGTAAGCTTCTGGAGGCCCAGGTGGGTCTTGGACAAGTTGAAACTGTGATGAAATATGACCGCACCAGGAAAGCTCCTTCTGAAGGCAATGACTCCATCTTTGTAAGTTTTATTTCATAAATATGATATTTGCATTAGCAGTATTAAAATAAATCATCTCTAAATATTATTGGTTAAGAAATTTAACCAACATCCAAACCGGTATATAAAGAAATCTCTATCAAACATAATGTTAGTGCTGCAGCGATTGATCCATAAGTGACACATTTAAATAAAGAAATAAGGATTCTGAACAGAGAAGTTATATTTTTAAAAAATATTACTGACTATCCTATTTTCTTTTCATACTTAGCCCTAAGAAACATTTTTAAAACTAAATTTTAAATATCTTCATTTTGTTTTAGTTAGTATTCCAATTATTGATAAAAATAACATTTATTTCCCTTACAACGAACAATAAGATGAATTTATTTAAATTTTGGATTGCTACAAAGGACTAAAAGATTTTCCTGATGTTATTTCAGACTCCTGGCAGATTATATCGGCCTGGCGATGAAGGCAGGGGAGCCATATTGTGCCAGGAATATGTTATCTTCAATGTTCTTCAAGTATTGCCACTTTGGCTCATGTCTTACAGTGCTTATCCAAATTCCTAGAAATGGCTGTTTTTTTTTGTTTTGTTTTGTGATGCTGTGATGATGCCTAGATTTTAAGATTAAATTATTTTATTTGTAGCTGATCTTTAGAATGTCAAATTGTATTAATTTTTATATTAAACTATTTTAAACCTGTCAAATGCGTGTGTTGTGGAAGATATCAACCAAAAAATGAAAGAAAATAATGGAGAGGAAACATGTTGATAAACGACAAGATTAAAAGAAAGCTGGTTTACACACACACATCCTGGGACTCTACGTTGAAGAGTTCATAAATACACACACAGCCTGGGACTCTAAATTGAAGAGTTGAAAATACACATACAGCCTGGGACTCTACGTTGAAGAGTTGACAAATACACACAGAGCCTGGGACTCTAAATTGAAGAGTTGAAAATACACATACAGCCTGGGACACTACATTGAAGAGTTGACAAATACACACACAGTCTGGGACTTCTCATTGAAGAGTTGATAAATTCAGATCTTTTAGTGTATGCTTTAAACAAAAGATCTGAGTACATCATTAAGACCAAATGTCCAATTATGTCAAACAGACAATATGTCTTCATTCTTATTTATTCTGAAAACTTAAATTTTTAAACCCTAATTCAATAAATTCAAATATTTATGTTTTATAAATTCCAATTTCAGTTAAAGGCTGAATTAAAAATATGACTGTTAGCTGCTAAATTGAACAAGTCAAATTTCACCCAAATTCGTATCAAATACAGTTTCCAGGCTTTTACATTGCAAATTTACAATGAATGGGTATGTTGACTATTGAATATTTTTGCTAAAAATGACTTAGACAAGTTAAAATTGTAAACAAAAATAATAAAGTGATTTTATATTTACATTCATTAGTCACATTGGTTATTTTTTGTATTTGTCCACACTGAAAAAGTTCCTGAAGTTCTACCTGATAAATAAAATATCTGTAACACACCAGTACATTATCTCTAACAACCCATCACGTTTTCCTTAAAAAAAGACACGTCATGTGCCTTTCAACAACCCACCAGCATCATATTATGATAATTATCTTCAACAACCCCATCAAGGTGTTTTTTTTAAAAGCGTCTATAATAAATAAATTGTACCCAGCAGTGCTTGAGAGACAAGAACATACTAGAATAAAGAAAGAAGTCATTGTTTTTTGGTGTAAATAATCTCTATCATTCTTCCTTTATTGTGACTAGATGCATACAAAATACTCTCCAAACCAAGACTTTTACTTGTACTCAACCGTTCATTGTGTTGGATCCCCCACACCTGCTGGTCATGCCACATGAGCCTCCACCTCCACCACTGCCTCCTCCGCACCCTGAACCCTGGTTCCTGTTTGTGAAAGGGTTGCTGTTCTGGCTGCATCCTCCTCCCGATCGGTCATTACCACCGTTGTTTCCACCAGGTCGATTTCCACCGGTGTTTCCGCCAGTGTTTCCGCCAGGTCGATTTCCGCCAGTGTTTCCGCCAGGTCGATTTCCGCCATTGTTTCCGCCAGGTCGACTTCCGCCCGCCCTAGTACAGCCGCTCTCTCGTATGAACTCTTTCTCTTCGTGCTCAACGTATTCACTGTTTCCACAGTTTCCGTAGACGTCACTGGATTGTACACACCTTCCGGTGTCCTGCACAAAAGGAAAGACTTTCTTTGTTATAGGCCTGCATTTAAATAATTAGTCGGAATCTCTAAGTATCTTTATAAGCATGTGACAGAGCAAACAATGATTAAACTCCCTAACATTGCTTACTAATTATGTATTTTTCTAAATATTACCACAAAGAGTAATCTTGAGACTAAACATCAAGTTGGATATTGGTCTTAGTCTCAAACAAGGGAGTCTAGAAACTAGACATTAAGTTGGATATTGGTCTTAGTCTCAAACAAGGGAGTCTAGAAACTAGACATTAAGTTGGATATTGGTCTTAGTCTCAAACAAGGGAGTCTAGAAACTAGACATTAAGTTGGATATTGGTCTTAGTCTCAAACAAGGGAGTCTAGAAACTAGACATTAAGTTGGATATTGGTCTTAGTCTCAAACAAGGGAGTCTAGAAACTAGACATTAAGTTGGATATTGGTCTTAGTCTCAAACAAGGGAGTCTAGAAACTAGACATTAAGTTGGATATTGGTCTTAGTCTCAAACAAGGGAGTCTAGAAACTAGACATTAAGTTGGATATTGGTCTTAGTCTCAAACAAGGGAGTCTAGAAACTAGACATTAAGTTGGATATTGGTCTTTAAAAAAACGACTTAGTTTATCTCCATTATTCGCTAATATACCAAGGAGCCCTTCAGACTTATGGCAGACATCTTACCTCACTGAAGATCATATCCACGGGGCAGAATGTACATGTCCCCTCTACTCCTGTGTCACCGCATGTGTAGAAGGCATTGCAAAACTCGGGGTGAGGGATGAAAAAGGCCTCGTTCTGACCAGCGAATGGGCTGTTGGCACAGCGGGGATCGGAGTTTCCACTTCCGCCCCGGTTTCCACCGCTGTTGGGCCTATTTCCACCTTGGTTTCCGCCGCTGTTGGGCCTATTTCCACCTTGGTTTCCGCCGCTGTTGGGCCTACTTCCGCCTTGGTTGCCGCCTCCCTGATTCCCACAACCGGAATCACTGCAGCCTCCGCCTGATCCACCAGTCCGATCGTTTCCTCCGTTCCCATTGTTTCCCTGGTTACCGCCCCCACAGCTTCCCCCGGAACCACCACCGCACCCACCACCGCTTCCTCCACGGTTTCCAGATCCACCGCTGCCGCCCATGTTGCCTCCTGATCCACCACCGCCGCCCCTGTTGCCACCTGATCCACCACCGCCGCCCCTGTTGCCACCTAATCCACCGCCATTGTTTCCACCTGATCCACCGCCATTGTTTCCACCTGATCCACCGCCATTGCTTCCACCGCCATTGCTTCCACCTGATCCACCGCCATTGTTTCCACCTGATCCCCCACTGCCGCCCCTGTTGCCGCCTGATCCACCACTGCCGCCCCTGTTTCCGCCTGATCCACCACTGCCGCCTCTGTTGCCACCTGATCCACCGTTACGGTTGCACATTGGGTATGTTCGTATATCTTCTTGGTCATAGGGTTGTGCAAACTCCTTATTTCCACAGATGCTTTCATCGCTCATTGAAGCACAGGCACCCGATGACTGTGGGACTCAAAGGAAAATAATTCATATAGATACGAATGCTCATTGGACACTAGAGCGTGTTCTAAACATGCAGCCTCAGAATGTTCAAATGATTTGTGAAACAGCAAATTAAAAAAAAAAAAAAAAAAAAAAAATAAAAAAAAGAAAACAAAAAGGAAAAAAAGAAAAAAATACGAATGCTCATTGGACACTAGAGCGTGTTCTAAACATGCAGCCTCAGAATGTTCAAATGATTTGTGAAACAGCAAATTAAAAAAAAAAAAAGAAAAAAAAAGTAAAAGAAAGAAAACAAGAAGGGAAGACAGAAAACGCTGGATTAATTTGAAACGACCTATAGTGCTAATTTATGATCTTTCAATTTACGTCATTACCCTCTGCAACCTTCGTTTACGACAATGTTAAAGAGTGTCGATTTGACATATGTATAAATTTTAGTTTTAAAAGAAATAACCCACACACAAAAAAAAATTGAAACCGTATCTATTGCCTTTTTCAATCTTTCCGCAAAGGGCAAATAAAAAACTAGGAATGTTAACATTGGGAGACATCTCTGTAAACTAAAGTAGCAAACTTTTATTTGACAAATGTTTTCCGATATCTACTAAGTTAACAGGACTAATAGACTACGTTGATTTTCTGGGTAACAGTTTATCTTCTAAGTTCAATAAAAGAAGTTAAAGGATTATGAAAAAAAAAAAAGTTACGGATTATGCAAAAGTAATCTATTTCTAGACAAACTGACCTCATCAAAGTACATGGTTTCCGGACAGAATGTACACGTCCCTAGGATCTTATCTGGGCTGCACGTGAAGAAAGCGTTACACAGGCTGGGATGACCCACTTGAAAACCGTCGCCAGACTGACCAGAGAATGGGCTGGAGGCGCAAAGTGGGTCCTGGTCTCCTCCTCCTCCTCCTCCTTGGTTGCCGCCTCTGTTGTTGTTTGAGCCTGATCCACCACGGCCACCGGATCCACCTCCCGATCCGCCACCACCACGGCCACCGGATCCACCTCCCGATCCGCCACCACCACTGCCACCGGATCCACCTCCCGATCCACCACCACAACTCCCTCCACTGCCCCCACATCCGCCGGACCCTCCTTGTCTCCCTTGGTTTCCACCACCACCACCACCACCACCACCACAGCCTCCTCCGCCTCCGCACCCGGCACTCCTGCGACTCATGCCGCTACCACCGTGAGGGTTGGGCTGGTCAGGGAAAGGCCAGCATTCGGAGCTTGTTTGCGTTGACGCCTGGTCCACGGGCATGACGTACGGTCGTCCACTGCAGACTGCCGAAGACTCCTTCCCATGCTGGTCAACGCACCTGCCTTCTTCCTGTTTTTTTTTTTTGGGAGTGGGGGGGGGGGGTAGGGAAAAAAATACAAATTATAAACGAAATGTTTTCGCAAACCTGGAAAAAAACCAAAAAAAAAAAACAGTCTTTCAATAGGGGTCGATGTTGTATCGTTTGGTTTAGTTTCGTTATTCACAGTCAGAGGTGTAGCTAAGGGGGCAGGGGCAGATGTCTCCGGGTGCCAAACACTCTAGCTACGCCTCTGCTCACAGTCATTTGGTTTGTGGAACGTAAAAGGGAGGAAATTTGATGCACAATGCACAGTGCACAGTGCAGTCTCAACCATTGGTTTGTGGAATGTTACATGACTGCAACATGGAGCTCAGTGCAGTCTCAAGTTACTTTTGGCACTTTTAGGAGGACTCTCTGTTTAGTTTCCCATTTTGAACTAAATTTTGGTGAATTTTTGAACACAAGAGGGCGCCACCTTAAGCCATGCCTTCCGTATAAACATCTTGCAGTTTATAGAAAAACAATTCTATATTTTATTTTTATTAAATAGGAAAAGTGAGTTCTCATAAAACCTAATTTTATTTGTTCAGCTCCGGAGAGGTTAAATTTCCATTTTACAGTTTAAAGAACACAATTTATCGGAAACCCATTGATTGTCATGAATGAACTCACCGGCACATCACGAGTCTAAATTACTTAAATTAAATTTGAAAAAAAAACCGCAACATTTCCAATAATTAAACACAAATCTAGTCGATTTTGAACTAAGGATGACACATATCGACTATTTTAAACCAATGCCCACAAGTGCATCCAACCAATGAAAGCACACATTTCCAACCAATGAAAGCACACATTTCCAACCAATGAAAGCACACATTTCCAACCAATGAAAGCACACATTTCCAAATGAAAGCACACACTTCCAACCAATGCACACACTTCCAACTAATGAAAGCACACACTTCCAACCAATGAAAGCACACACTTCCAACCAATGAAAGCACACACTTCCAACCAATGCACACATTTCCAACCAATGCACACTCTTCCAACCAATGCACACATTTCCAACCAATGCACACACTTCCAACCAATGCACACATTTTCAACCAATGCACACACTTCCAACCAATGCACACATTTCCAACCAATGCACACACTTCCAACCAATGCACACACTTTACCTTATCGAAGAACAAGCCCTCCCCACAGAATGTGCAAGGAGCGGAGATGTCTCCGTCGATTGTACACGTGTAGAAAGCGTTACAAAAACTCGGATGCGCCACCAAGAAGATCTCAGCGTGAGTTGGATTGTTGTTACACAAGGGGCTTTCTGTTGAGACGATATCAAAATATGTTGGGGAGACGATATCATAATATGTTGGGGACACGATATCATAATATGTTGGGGAGAAGATATCATAATATGTTGGGGAGGAGATATCATAATATGTTGGGGAGACGATATCATAATATGTTGGGTAGAAAATATCATAATATGTTGGGTAGAAAATATCATAATATGTTGGGGAGACGATATCATAATATGTTGGGGAGACGATATCATAATATGTTGGGGAGACGATATCATGATATGTTGGGGAGACGATATCATAATATGTTGGAGAGACGATATCATAATATGTTGGGGAGACGATATCATAATATGTTGGGGAGACGATATCATAATATGTTGGGGAGACGATATCATCATATGTTGGGGAGACGATATCATAATATGTTGGGGAGACGATATCATAATATGTTGGGGAGACGATATCATAATATGTTAGGGAGAAGATAGCATAATATGTTGGAGAGACGATATCATAATATGTTGGGGGGAGGGGGAGGATATCATTAACATTCGATCACAACAGGAGTCCAGCTCTCGGTGGTGTCTGAGATAAATTAAACCTGGCCTCAGCAGTGTTCGAGTGACACTGAGCCGACCCACCGTTAAACAAAATTTGGAGAACCCTTGATTTCGTGAAATGCTATGGGTAGACTTACGCCTGCTTGGTCCTGGATGTGATTGACCGACTGCAAACAATGCAGCCGCGAAGAAGAACTGCAGCATTCGTGAGCTTTCTGGGGAAGAACAGTTAACACAGTTATATATAAGAACACAGAACTCTCCATTTTTTTTTCCATCTTTGAAAGGAGAATTTTAGGGTGTGGATTATCGACAGATCAATCAAATTTAATTTATGGGCAGATGCTCTAAAGCTGCTCGTTTACGGACACATGAAATAAACTTGTCGAAACAGTGGCTCTAAAAAAAAAACCCAACAAAGATATATTTTAAATTTAAGTATGACTCTAATTTTCCTATGATGATTTCTCTCCGGGTCAACGTCAAATGGCCTTGGAGGATAAGTCTATTTTTATAACGCTAGTCCATTGTAAATGAACTATAAGAACAAGGTACGCTAAACTTGAATTCATAGGGGTAATAAGGGGCGAGACTGCAATCAGGTTAGTACAAAATAAAATGAGTAAAACAAAGTAGGGTTAAACCTGAAAAAATAAACGCAACGAAACAGCGAACGTGTCGACAGAAAGCCTTCGTCAGCAAACAAAACAACAGAAAAAAACGGTATACAAATAAAAATAAGAAATAGCACTTAGCTGGTAAGTAGTATCTGTGGGCAGCAATAGAAGTGACACTTCTTTGTTTTACTCATTTTATTTTGAAATCATAGACAAGACAAAAGATTTGAATTTCTATTGTTTATGATTATACAAGTTAAAGCAAGAGAGAATTAAAATCAGAAACTCTGAGATATGTTTCACTTTAAAAGATTTTTGTAAAATGTCTCATTAAAAAAAAATAAATAAATAGACATCCTAATGTTCTTAAGGACTTATACGGACAAGTCATTTTAGATCGAATTTTTACGTACAGTCCTAAAATTTACGAACGGTTGACCTGATTATTCAGTATGAATCGTCCTCGGTGGTAGGAATACAATGACACCTGTTTTAGCAACTTTATTCGCTCCGTGTCAAAGATTTTTATTTTGTACAATTCCCTTTCACCGAAAAAAATATGCAAAGAAAATATAAAATTAAAAACAATCTAAAGGTTTCTTAAAACATTAAAAAACAAAACAACTGTGCAGCATAGCCTGCTGTAAAGCAGAAACCCAATAAGTATAGGTTTAGTCGACAGTTATTGACAAGATTAACACAATACCAGAACTGCACACAGTAGGTCTATTAAAGGGTTTGCCACTGAGGCTCGTCCGTGACTGCCATTTTTTTTAAAGTTGAAAAAAAAAATGTTTTAAAACTAATATTTTTTTAAAGTTAAAACATAAGTTGTCTCGTTTATATTTATATTATTAAAAATCCTGTAATGATAGTATGTTCAATGCGCTATAAAGCATTTAAAAAAAAATAAAGTTACGAAATGTGTGGCCTAAGATAGCATGACATAAGGATACTGCGGTATGAAGACGCTACTTCCCTTTTGGG